GGCGTTGAGCAGTTTGGCGAGGACCAGGAAAGCCTTGTGAGAGCGCCTAAAAGCAACCCGTAAGAATCGAGGATGGCTGGAGAAACGTTGTCAAGGGTCCTTGGCCCCACTGAACCTTCTAGAATAGATGACGTTTGGATAAGCGCAAGTCCTCGATATTAGGTTAGTCATTTGCGGGCCGGGGCCTGGCCACGGACACTAAATCGATTAGTTGAGTTTACGCGGGGTGAGACGTTGACAGCTGCAAATTAATTGACGGATTATTTTGTCTATCTCTTTTTTTTCCCTCTGTGCCTTGGTCCTGGGTTGTGACATTCTGTCATTGATCGGTGATTGCGGGGCTTTTCATCTAAGCAATGCTGTAAAGAAAGGCAAGTTTTGATGCATGTGATGCTGTCATAGGCGGTAGTTTGACATTGATGGACTATTCCCAACCTCTTGTACGGACTAGCTTGGTTGGCTCAACTGTCAATGAGGACAACTCACTGCCACTAACATGCATTTTTTAGACTTAGAACCCCTATCATGTGTATTTTCTGTCAGTTGAATTGTCATTACACATGGTCCTTGCTTAATTGGTTCTGACCTGTGGTCCGTGATAATTCCAGACAGACAAGGTCCCTTCCGCGGTGGGGGTTGAAAGCGCGTGGCGACCAGGCATACTAAATGGATGTGATTGAATTGAAATCTGTCACTGTATGGAACTGTCAATGTCACTGGGGAACGAAGTACAAGATACTCGCACAGCAGGCAAACATGTCCTGTGTTGCCAAAGTCTCCGAGAACCGATGGAATGAAATGACAGTCCTACACTGACATTGACGTGATTCCGGCAGTACAGTACGATACACAATTTTATTCTCATTAGACTTATTCAGGCCAGACCAGGCGATGTCTCAGTGGTCAACCCAACTTAAACGCTCAGGCTCCCGTGGTGAGCCGGCAACTACTATGTACACACGTCTACAGAGTAGACACCTGCAGAACCCAGCCCTTTTTTTTTTTTTAACCCTTCACAATTTGGAGTGATCCGACAGGCTGAGATTTGGAAAACGGGTTACTGCACTAGGAAGTCAGGCAGTTTATGTCGATTTTGACACATAGTCCTGTCCATCCTAGTTCGGCCTTTTGACCTCTGTTGAGAGAGAGAGCGGCTGATAAATCTGCTGTGCTGGGCTGGGCTCCATGGGATTGACATGGCCGTTGTCGCCTGTCACTCGTCACTGTCATAGCCCGGTTCGCTCATCTCATATTGACTGGAGGACTCAAACTAATTAACTAGGTAGGTACCTAAGTTAGCAGCTGAATGCTGGTTCAGGCTGTGCTCTGCGTATTGGTTCAACAAGGGTTCTTTTCCTTCATCATCTCATCACTTTCCTCTTCCCTGCCCCCAGATTGTTTTCTTCTTCCTCTCTCCTCTGGATCACCTTTTTGTCATCTGCTTGTCTTTACTTCTTCCTTGTCTCTGTATTTCTACCTACCTAGGTATCTACCTTATGCCTTGACCTTTGTAGTCCTCTCTCATCACTGCTCCAGTCCTCCTCCGTCTGTCTAGTGAGGTATTCGGCATTCCCACCACACTTAACTTGACTTGACCCCTTTTAGGCTCAGAGCCGCACGACCGTTCCCGGAGCCACCAGTAATAAAGTCCAGTCCTAGTCCAGTCCATCCAGTCCAGCCAGGAACTGGAAGTCGACCGGCCCCGAAAAAAAAACTCGGTTTTTTTCTTAACGCCCGTTTAGGGCATCGACTCGGTCAAGTAAAGTATCCGGCATAAGCTTGTTACGGGGATTCTTGGGGATTCTTCCATCCCGTCTACCTAAAAGTATTAGTTTTCTATCTGTCTGAACCAAACTTTGTTTGGCTCAAATGAAGAACTTCTTTGGTAGCGGCAAGAAGCCAACGTCCTCCACTCCTCCTCCTCTTTCCTCTACTAGGAAATCCGCCACTTTCGAGGAGCGCGACCGTGAGAACCACGATCCGGCCGAACAACCTCCCGCATACTCGGAGCCTTCTTCTCCTGCGAGAGCAAAGTCGCCTTCAAAGTCTTCAAAGAGACTATCGCGGCCCGCTTCTTACGCCGCCGAGTCCACAAAATCTTCCTCGCGTTCTTCTAGACTGTCGAGGCAATCTACCGACCCGGGCCATTCTCACTCCCATTCTTCCTCTCGTCGGCACAAATACGAGCCCGATACCCATCCGCTCAACCTCCCTCCCGAAGAACGAAAGCGATTATCCGCTCTCGCCGCTGCAATGAACGGTAACTCCATGGATGTCGACAGCGAGCCTGTTAATGGCGCTCGTTCAACTACTCCTCCCAACCCGAAAGCCCAGACCAACTTTTCCGTCCCTATTCCCAACGGCTCCAGTCATGATGACGGCGCCCCTCCGCCACCTCCTCACAAATCCAACCCTGGAAGCCCAACAATTACGCCTGAGGAAGATGCCGAAGCCTACAAGGCTGCTGGTAACCGATTCTTCAAGGAGAAGAACTACTACAAGGCTATCGAACAGTACAGCAAAGGTATGCATCGCCACCTGCCATCAGGATCCTCTTATTTCCAGGACTTTTCAGCCTGGCTGAATGCATCTCCAAATGCTGACCCAAAATCACAGCTGTCGATTTGTTCCCCTTCTCCGCTACTTATCTAGGCAACCGAGCTGCTGCTTATATGTCTAATGGCCAATATGAGCATGCTCTTGAAGACTGCTCCAGGGCTGCCGATTATGATCCTCAGAATGCCAAGATTCTTCTGCGTTTGGCCCGTATCTATACTGCTATGGGCCGACCAGAGGAAGCCATGACAACCTTCAACCGCATTGACCCCCCACCATCTGCTAAGGACATGGCCCCTGCGAAGGAGATGTTGCATCATATTCAGTCTGCCCGTGATATTCTCGCACGTGGATCTGGATCTGGCATGTCCATGGTGCTTCATGCTCTCGACCTGGCTGAGCGCGGCCTGGGTCCTAGTGTCAGCAAGCCCCGCAAGTGGCAGCTTATGCGCGGAGAGGCTTATCTATTAATGGGACGGGAAAACTCATTGGGAGAGGCGCAAAACATTGCTATGAATCTCCTCCGAAACAACAGCCAGGACCCTGAGGCTCTTGTTCTCCGAGGACGTGTTCTCTATGGTCAGGGCGAGAACGATAAGGCTATCCAGTTCTTCCGTATGGCTATTAACTGTGATCCTGATTTCCGTGATGCTGTCAAGTGGCTCCGAATTGTCCAAAGACTTGATCGCATGAAGGAAGAGGGCAACACCGACTTCAAGGCAGGTCGTCTACAACAAGCTATCGAGAAGTATACCAATGCTCTGGAAATTGACCCTTCCAATAAGAGCATGAACTCGAAGTTGTTGCAGAACCGGGCACAATGCAAGATCAAGCTCAAGCAGTACGACGATGCCATCGCCGACTGTGAGCGGGCCATTAACCTTGACCCTGGTTACACGAAGGCCCGTAAGACCAAGGCCAATGCTTTGGGTGGTGCTGAGAGGTGGGAAGACGCCGTTAAGGAGTGGAAGGCCATACAGGAGCTTGATCCAGAGGACCGTACTATCATGCGAGAGATCCGCAAGGCGGAGCTTGAGCTCAAGAAGGCCCAACGCAAGGACTACTACAAGATCGTTGGTGTTGAGAAGACGGCTACAGGTGACGAGATCAAGAAGGCTTATCGCAAGATGGCTGTTAAGCTCCACCCTGACAAGAACCCCGGTGACCCTCATGCCGAGGAGAAGTTCAAGGACTTGCAGGAGGCTTACGAGTGCTTGAGCGACCCTCAGTAAGTAATCTCTTAGACCTACCGACTAGATAAGTTACTAATACCATCTAGGAAGCGTGCTGCTTACGACAACGGCGATGATCTTATGGACCCCAACGATATGTTCGGTGGCGGTGGCATGGGAGGTGGTATGGGCGGCATCGACCCGGAGATCCTCTTCAGCATGATGGGCCAGCAGGGCGGTTTCGGCGGCGGCGGTTTCCGATCTGCTGGAGGCTTTCCCGGCGGCGGCGGCGGCGGCGCCCACTTCAACTTTGGTGGTGCTGACCCCAGGCAGCGTGGAGGATTCCCTGGCGGTTTCAACTTTTCATGACCAGCCGGCGCGGATGATGATGATGACGACCTATGGGATAGTGAGGATGAGGATGTGGACTTCTATGACGAAGAAGACGAGCATGAGAATGGCGAAGAAGAGGAAAACGACGACTTTGCAACCACCAGCGATGAGGACTTCCGCCCACAGTCCTCCCGGAACAGTAAGCTCCGAGATGATCTTGAACAGCGCCGCCAAGATGCCCATGGCCGGCTGGTAGATGCTGTACGACGATACGGCAAGTTCTTCATGGCGGCAGCTGTCTTGCTTCCTTGGCAAGTGGTGATACTCATTTTGACGCTGGTTGGTTCAGCGTATATATGCATGAAGCACATTCCACTCTTTGGCAGGAAAACGCCGTTATCGTTGTGAACGGCTAGCACATATAATGGGCACTTTTCACTCATCCTATGCCACACAACATACCCTTGGGCGTTTATTTTAGGGATAGACATCAATGAATGCAGAGCAATGCTAGAGGTTAGCGAGTTGCTTGTTGTCAGGGTTTGAAGGCCTGGGATGGACAGCGGACCCTTTAGATCGGTTCCTGGGGTGTTTCACGCATAAAATGTCACATCTTGGCATAATAGATGGTTGTCCGCAAAAAGTTCTGATCATGCCATACATTTATGAAGATCTCATTGCTAATGATCCTTGTCATTGTGTGAGCTTGCTTGTCAATGCTGATATGAACTCCTCACGGCAGCTGTCAACGACAGATATTGAAACATGGCAGTTAAAGCTGCTGGCACCAGAAATAGTACATTAAGTTGCGCGGCATTACGCTCGCTTAGGGTATCATAAAATCCGCGGTTCTACTGTAATCGCAGCCGCTTGAAATAAACATGCTCGTAGCCTGAGCAACATGGTGAATCATCATAGTCATCCAATTCCGCCAACCCCTCAAGCAGAAGACGACGAGGCGTGGTTGGTAGCATTGCCATTCTGTTGCGGCTGCTCACCGTTTCTCCTCCCAGGTGGCACGCCTCCGGTGGCCTCGACGACCTGGGCCACATCGTCGCGCAACTCAGGCATGGCCGTGGTGATATTCTCTGCCAAGATGTCGCGAAAGGTTCCAAAGGCGTTGAGTTTGCCGCGCATAAGTTGATTGCCACGGCGCACGAGCTCGACGAATTCTCTAGTGTAGATATCCGGGTTACGGCCATGCTCGACATATTCGACAAGCTCTGGAGGCACTGAAGGCAGGTTGTTTGGGGGAGAGGCGGAGGAGTGAACAGTGCGAAGGGAGTCGGAGAGGGTTTTGCTGTACATTCTTAGTCCGGGTTTCAAAGGCAGGAGTAAGAACAGATGTTACATTTCGTTGATGAGAACTTCTCTGCTGGACCGGCCGACGGAGTCGTAGGTTGAGACTTGTACCATTATTTGGTAGAGATCTTGGATGATGTCCTTGAGCTGTTCTACGCGGGAGTTAACGCACGTTGATGACTCGGAATATCATGATACCTACGCTCAAGGACATTGTGGTCTACGCGATCGACAGGCGCCATGGTAAAGGTGTCGTGGGTACGAATTGGACGAGCCGCCTTTTGGGTCAAAGATATGATAATCTGAATGCTTTGCGACGCTCTGTCCAAGGGAATCTAAGCTTCATGGGTAAACTGAATAGCGGACTAATTACTACTCCGGATCCCTGCCGGGGGCGGGAAGTGGGGCATGGAAAGGTGGGGGTTGTCAGGTGGGGTATCTTCCTTATCAGTGACATGAGCCTCTTGCAACGACATCAAACTTGGACATAAACAACCGTCCACTCACTAATGGTTTTCTCTTATGTGAAGAGCCTGGCTTCTCATATGTAGGGCTACTGCTAGTGACTCTGTTTATCTCAACTGGTTATTTTACTTTCTCCACTATCCTTGGCCTAGCCTGGCCGACAGGTCAAGGACAACAGCCGTCTGAAATGTGGCCAGCCATCTTTTGGTGACACAGTCTACCGGGATATTGCTGAAAGTTATACTTTCGGATGCTCATTAAGCGGCGAGACTCATACGACTGCTACTCTCGCCATACAAAGTACGTGATAACTGGTTTGACATAGCCTAAGTTTTTGACTTAATAAGCTGCATAAACTGCCACTCAGCAATCATGGCATAAGGGGTGACAAAGAACTGATCGAGAGCTGATGAAAGAATATCCAGGGCTTCTCTTGTTCAGTAGACTTAACTTTCAAGCCAAGAGTGTGTGAATGATCAATCTTACCCCTCCAAGCCTACGGTAGTAACCAGAGGTCGGTTGTCTACCAACGATAAACTGTCATGGTTTGCTTGCGAATATTGAATACAAGAAATATTTCAACCCCATTCTCCGTTTATAGCCTGCAGATTCCCGCGTAACTTTCCAGTTTCTCAAGGAGTGGTCTCTTCTCACCGCCGGCATGCGAGCCAGTTTGTCCAAGAGAAGCTTATTATCAATGAATGTAGCACATTATTGGCTTCAGTACCGCTTCTCGGATTGGATAGACCTGTAAAATGGCCCCTATTATCATCTGTAGCTTGAAGATGGGGCAGGCTGCATTTACACGCCACAGACACTTGCATGTTTGCACACGCTGACACTGCAGGATACCATCATTCTAATGCCACTTGCTCATTTCATGACTGTGGACAAGTCTATTGGATAAGCCTCTCCGTGAAACGTTTTCTTGGTAGAGGTCACAGCACTCCTAACATGCATGAATGTGGCAATCGGGAATTTGGTAAAGTGCCTGCAGCTTGCCGTCGGGGAGGACACCGTCTGATCTGAGCAAGGCATTTCCTTGAGTCGTTCTATTGGTAGATCTTGGTTAGCAGCAGTGATTCTAGTGAAGACAAGCGAAGGCTCCGTATACTTTGCTTTTCTTGTAAGACAATGTCCATCAGATATCACTTATGGACATGTCAGCTGCAGACTCTAAAGCAGACATGGGGGTGTAGAGTCTTTGTTCACTCTATGACATGGCTCAGCCATGTCATGGGAGTCGGCATTATGCTGTTTGGAGGATAATGCATGACTGGTACCAGAGTCTCAAAGAATGTCTTTGCATTGGTGTGTTGGGTCCCTGGTATAAAGTAGATGGCATGCTCCTGAGTCTCTGGCCACTCGACATCACCTTGATGCTAAGCGATACCTAGTCACGAATTATCTCGTAAGCATCATCTCTATATCTTCATCGGTCATCTTACCTATCGAACGTTCATAACATCCCCCATCCTCCTCTCAGACGCCGTCATGATCAAGTCCCCCAACCAAACTCTGGACTCGGTAGCTGTGTTTCCGCATAGCTATCGGGAAGGGGCCAGGTGTATTGGGTGAGCTAGATCCTAAGGTCGTCAGTGCAATCGAATAATTGGTATGGCCAAGATGAGGGAGCATGAAAGCCTCATGGCGAGGCTAAATAGTGTGCCCCTGGAACATCGCGCGGATCACCCACGCTTAGAAGAGGCCTTGAAACCCCTTCTGTGCTATAAACATAAGCCCACTGATTTCGATAAGGAGCTGGAAGATGCTTCGCAGAAGTTTCGAGACGCAGCAGAAGCAGCGAAGAAGGCGGAGGTGGCCCAAGTCAAGGTATGTGACTGTCCTGTTCACGTTATCGTGCTTGACTCCTAACATGAACCAGCGGGAGAAGCCCGTTCCCCAGAAACGGCCCGGCATACTTCGGAAGCCAACTGTTCAGTTCGCCACTCCATTTCCGCTTCCTGTGAGTCGTCGAAGAGCCGAGTTGGCCGAAGGATCTGCAGCGAACTCAGGGAGACCTAGGCGCCGGCTTCAAGCCAGCGACATCCCTTCTGAGCCTGACTCTGAGTCAGATCCTGAGTCTGATTCTAGCTCAGAATCGGAAAGTGATGTCGGCGACGTTGTTGAGATTCATCCCCTGGAGGCCTGGGAGCGCTACGACTCCAAGTGGAAGACGATAGACAAATCTGGATTGGAAGAAGCGCTTGTAAGTAACAGACTATGCTCCTGTATCTATAGCATGACTAACGATACCTTCACCATAGCCTGTAGTATGGCAAGTGCCGTGGACGGTGACTTCAGGCAAACACTGGCATGTCAGCAAAGAAGAGGTCGTGAGGTTCTTCAATGATATTGCTGATGAGCATGACAAGGCCGGTTGCAGGGCCATATTCTTGCATGAACGCATGCGCTGGTGTTCTAGAAATGTCAAGGACACGTTTGGCCGAGTGTTTTATCGAGGAACTTGGAAGAAGGAATTGGGAATGATTTCTTCAGTTGCCGAGGAGTTCGAGAAGCTGTACTCGGAGTAGTCTTAGTGTGATAATGGCTTGGTAGTCTGTGGCGGTGGAGTATTGATGGGCTTTGGGGTTCTATTTATGTTTCTATCCTTTTCTATGGATGGTCATTGCATAAAAATACAATTACGTGCTAGTTAGGGCGGGTGGCCCAGGTCTTCTCAGTGGGAGTCTGCGTTTCCTCTCCCGCTGCTCAAGCGGGTTCCCGTTCCCTCGTACTATTCCTCCATCAACATCCGTGGCCAACCAAAAGTGAGCAGTCTCTGGAACTTCTCAAATAAGCCATAATTTCCTCGCCTTTTGCATTTCATCTCTCGTCATTTCTTTTGTATGCCTGGCACTCTAATTCCTCGACCATACTTTGAAGATGTCGGGCGAGAACGATTCCGAGAGTGACCCAACACTCGACGATACACGCGCGCAGGGTGAGACGATGATAGATGCTGCTCCAGACAACAAACAGAAAGGGTTAAAGCCAGATGAAATGCCTACGCTGGACAAGCTGGCAGCAAAATGCGTCATGGCTACTGGGCTCACAGCCCTGACCCCCCGCTTGACAGCTCAAGAGTCATTCTGCGAGCTACTCCGTTGGTGGTAAGTCACAGTGATAGCTAATCCTGATGGCATCACTGAAACTGACATGACATACTATAGGAAAGACAAGATCATGGAGTCTTCTGGCCTGCAGCTGGCCGCCTTTGTCGTCACCATGAAAAGGCGTGGAAACCACTCCGATGCAAAGATCCCCGCAGAGATCGCTTTCACTGCTCAAGATGGATCTGGAAAACCCCTTGGCTATGTTCACTTCATGAATAGCAGAAATGGCAAGAGCGGCACCGTCACAGTCGCTGTACGAGACGTGACTCCTCTGCAGCCCAGCATGGTAGTCCCTGACCTCGAGCGACCTCAGGAGCCTCAAGATGTTCGATTCACCCACCGTTCAGAACTCGGCTTAGGAAGGGCCGTTCTCAACTTCTTAGGAGCCGGCACAAACCACGGTGTTACGTGCAGAACCGGGGGTTACAAATACAGGTTCAACTTTGGCCCAGAAGGTCAGCTCATGGCCGTCCTGACAGTCATGGACCAAGTCAAGAACAATGAGTTTCGACGATTGACAGTCCCAAAGGGCAGTCGATATGTCCCTTTTCAGCCACATCCGGAGACTGACACCGTCTTCGTCGTTGGCATTGATAGGGACGCACTGGGGAGAGGCGGGCGTGGCAAATACATCTACCGCTCCAAGGTCACGCCCAGAGAGTTCGACATCTGGTGCGAACCCGCCTTGTTCCTACAGGACATCAAAGATGCCGATATCGTCAAGACTGAGGTGGGCGATCTGATCCTAGATTCCAAGTCTCGTGGCAAAATCTACTTCAAAGGCTTTCTCCTGAGTGACACGACCCGCAGGGGCTATGCCAGCTTGTCCGAGAGACCACTCAGATTCGGTTACAACATCCTCTACGGAACTCCAGATGAGAGGATGAAGCACATGAGTTCGCTTGAGGAAGAGTGTCGAGCTATCATGTCCATTTAGGATCTGGCTTTGAAGCAGAGACCGAGTCTTGTGGAACACCTCAGCACCCTGCTCGACGACTGGGGCTGGGGAGATGTTGAGCTGGCGGTGCAGTTCATCGAGAAGGATACCATCTCTCTTCTCGGAGATTATCTGTTTCTTGATCGCTCAAAGTGGTACTATCCCACCGGCTCTAAACCGGTATGTCATGGATTGCGAAGACTTTCGACTTGAGATATGCTTGCTAACCATCTTTGAATAGGACCCCGAATGCGAAAAGAATCTCTCCAAATTTGGTCGACAGGCAGTAGAATTGCTAGACTCGTACTATTCCATCTTGGCACCGTACAAAACAGTCAATAGGAAGTTATACGAGCACGTTCCTCGAGTGCTCAACGAGGTGCCGGTCTCCATCCCAGACACACAATTTGCCGCGTTTGTCGACAAGGCTCTTCGGTCCTGTCTGTCTGCATGCGAGCATACAGAAACTCTCAGCGTCATGTTTTTCGACGCACGACGTCTTCCTCATTGGACTGTTTTGGTTAATGATAATGTCGTCCGAGTACCCAACAAGTGGCTCGACCAGGGAAATTTGGGGCTGATTCATAACGTTCTGGGAGGTGATGAGTCACTCTCGGATTTGATGAAGTCAGTTACGAGCATTCTGTTTCATCTCATTCTCAAGCAGGTCGCCATTGACGAAGAATCCTGTGACAGACACAAAGCCATTGCGAGGCAGAGGCTTGAGGACTATGTTCAGGGGGAGCTGAACTCTAAGATGCTGAATCTGAGCTTTGAGCCAGGCTCAGGGTCCAACTTAGCAAATGTCTCTTGGGAGACTACGTTTTCCCCCGGGAACGTCTCGAACTATCATGTCCAGCTGCATCAGATAGAGACATGCTGCAATCACCAGAACGCTGTTCTGGTTCGAGACAGTTAGTCAAACAAGTCTCTTCTCTTCACTGGCAAAAAACAAAAGCTAACAGATATATAGTCCTCCCCACAACCCCGACCTGCATCAACGACACATGTCACATCTCGGAAGTAGTCACCGCAAAGGATTTCCGACGATACTGCATCAAGGATTGCATCTTGGGGAAAGAGTATTTTGGAATCGTCTACAACCCCGATGAACCTCTATCCACCCCCCTAGTCACAAGTACTTTCACGGTACCGACGGACGTGAGCGCCGCCGATGACTATGATGTTGAGATGGCGCTGGAGGACCTCGAAGATCTACAAAACCAACTATCTTCTTGAACTTCACCAGTCTCTCACTTCTACCTACACTAGAGATTTCTTCGTTATCCAGGGTACATACGAAAGACCTTCGGGTTTACATATAATCCAGGCTAGAAGAAGCAAAAGCTCGGAACGTACTCTAAACGAAAAAGAAAAAAGAACAAAAAAAAGAAAAAGGGGCTGGGGTTAGTTCAGTATTTCCTGGGGAGAATGTCGACTGATTCTTTCTAGTACATTGGCTTAGGGCTATGGCTTCTCTTGCTCTCTGGGGCGAGGTTATTTGGACCTCAGACATATAAGTACATGGACAGGCGTGGAGAGAGATTTGGTGAGATGAGGGAGGTTGGGTGCTGGCCACGGCACAGATAAAGGGGGGTATTTCTAGAAGATCTTCGTTGGATCTTGGCAAGAAGGATGAAGGATGGAGGTTCATTTGTTCTCACATGCGTTCGGGGCATCTTCGAAATGTCCATTAATAGAACATAAAGGCGTCAAGCCTCAACGCCTTTCCAGCCTTTCGATTTATAGTACGAGTGGTCAAACTAAGGTTTCCGGGTGAACCTAATCACCCTTAAGTCTAAGCTCATACTTCAAGCCATTATCGTATCCAGTAGTGATCGCCATGGATAGTCACAGTCAGGTATCCCAAGGAAGCATTAGAGAGGGCATAGATAGTCCAACGACACGTCTCCAGATTAACTACATATCCTATCCTATCTTAAACTGTCTCGTACCCTCCCATATACAATCATATAAGCCAAGAATTAATATATACACTAGAAGTGAAGATAAGGAATAACAAACCACCCTCTTCCACGACATTAAATACCCCAAAAATAAGCATCCTCCCAATTGTACCTCGCCATGTCCTGCAAAGGAGTGTATGTATGCGATTCCAAGGGCTCGCGATGAATTAAATAGTCTGCGACCTGCTGCCAGGGACAACCAGTTTTTACGAGAAGTAAAGGGGTGAAAAGGAATAAAACAAAAACTAATCCGGCGGCGCTATTGGGCTTTGAGTTGAATGACTCATGCTTTTTAGATGAGAGCGACGGCACCGAGGATACCAGCCATGAAGGCAAAGACGGGAGCCTTGTTGGCGGCGGCAGCGCCAGTAGCAACGGGTTCAGGGGCGATGGTGGGAGTGGCAGGGACGGTGACCTCAGGCTGGGTGACAACCTCGGTCTCGGGGGCCTGGACAGTGGTGGGCTGAGGAGCAACAGTCTCATAGACGGTACCGCCACCAACGGTGTGGTAAACCTTGGAGTACTGAGTGACGACCTCGCCCTTGCCGATGGTCTTGACGATGGTCTCGACAGCGGGCACGGTGGTGGCAACCTTTTCAACGATGACGGAAGTGGAAGTGTAAACGTTGGTGATAACCTCACCCTCGACGGTCTTGGTGACGGTGACGGGATAAACCTCGTACTTGGTGTGGTAGACGACATCTGTCTCGTGCTTGGTAACATCGGGCTGCTTGACCTGGTCGTAGACCGTGGTGTGGACCTTCTCGACAACATACTCGGTAGAGGTGTAGACTTTGGTGATGACCTCGCCGGCAATAGTGTTGGTGACGGTGACTGGGTAGACATTGGTCTTGGTGATGCAGACAACATCGGTCTCGTACTTGGTCACATCAGGCTGCTTGACTTGCTCATACTCGGTTGTAGCAACCTTCTCCTCAACGACCTTGGTGGTGGTGTAAGTCTCGCAGACGACCTCACCAGCAATGGTTTTGGTGACAGTGACGGGGTAGACCTTGGTCTTATGAACGTATTCGACATCAGTAGCATACTTAGTAACATCGGGTTGCTTGACGTGCTCGTAGTCAGTGGACTTGACGACCTCCTCGATGATGCTGGTGGTTGTGTATGTCTGAGTGACAACCTCACCGGCGATGGTCTTGGTGACTGTCACGGGGCAGACAGTAGTTCGTGTCTTGTAAACAACATCGGTTTCATGCTTGGTCACATCGGGCTGCTTGACGTGCTCATAGTCGGTAGACTTGACAACGTCGTAGATGATGCTGGTGGTCGTGTAGACCTCAGTGATAACCTCTCCAGCAACAGTCTTGGTCTGGGTAACAGGGCACACCGTTGTTCTGGTAACGTAGTCAACATCAGTGTAGTGCTTGGTGACATCGGGCTCCTTGACTGTGACATCGACAGTCTTAGTCTCAGCAACAACGAGTGTTGAGGTAGTGAGCTTGGTCTCGCAGTAGGTGCTGTGTATTGTTAGCATGCTGCAGTCTCTTAGTGGC